GCTACCCTCCGCAGTCTCCTTCTTCACCGTCACTTCTCCGGCTCCGTTGGCGGTGCTTGTGGTAGGGTTCGGTTTTACACGTTTGCCATTCTTCACGGCTCCGTTGGCCAGTTTTGAATCTTCTTCTCCGTCCCGTTTTCTTTTCCCTAGAGAAGGCGAGCCCGAGCTTGCCCCACTGCCCGAGGTAGCCATGCTGACGATGGTGTCCACCACATCTTCAAAGCGACTGTGGTCTTCTGTTCGAAAAAGTTCGAAGGCAAGGCTGCGTACCCGTTCGGTCCAGCCGCAGGTAGACAGCGAATTTAGAAGAGAGGCCTGTAGGTCTTCCAGTTTGTGCGTAGCCAGTAGATAGTCCATTAGTTGGTCTGTTTGTTCGGGGGAATTCGCCATCTGGTCGTTACGTTGTTCCGTGATGCTGGTCATAATATACCGTTGGCAGAGCAGGTATTATAGGAGAGGAGTGTCGGTGGGAGTGAGATGAGAATAGTATGTTTGAGGCTCAGTTATGTATGCTGCGTCGGGATCATGCGCGCTGGGGGATGATAAATCTGGGGCAGCGAACACATTAGCAGATAGAATAACGGATGGCGGTGTCATTTAATAGTACCGTAGAACACAGCTCAACCATCGGAGAGAATAAGCTTCTTGCCTTTCTATTGTGTAGTCGCAGTCATGGCTTCCATTCAGCAAGTTCAATGAATGACAGCTTCTGAATGCGCCAGGTATCAATGACGATACTACCCACCGCCAGAGTAAAATAAATATTTTCAAGTGTTGTCTTCCGGCAGGCCCTATGTATCACGACCGGCGGGCCGAGTCACCTCTTCTTCGCATGGACTAACGGGGCCAGAAACCTGCTCCAATGCAAAGATTCAAGTTATCGCTCTTGTTGACCAGCGAAAGACGAGCTTCGCCGGGCGAGAAAAGAAAGTCGGATGTCATTTTGCCAAGGCCCGAGGATTAAACTTTTAGGCTTTGCCGCTGCAGGGGTCTTTAATTGTACTTACATCTTACCCCATACGCCTTTTGTCTATATATATCTACATGGGGGAGTGTCCACCGGCTACTGTGTGCGCAGAAAGTCAGTGGTCTATAGACGGGCGAAGGAACAGGTAACTAGTGGTATTTGTATAAACAGGTATAGTGGGGTGCTGCGCGGCCGCTGTTTACATGTCATGTAGCATGCTGACCGAGCCACAGCTGCAACAGTCTGAGTCGTGTGTTGTTGCTTTTGGGGAATCCAGCGCCGGGAACATCGCACTGTCGAGTCACATGGACCAAGTTGTGGTTCGGGCTGTGCCGGACTTAGCCTCACTGCAGAGATAGAACACACATCGACCGCGGAGAGGATAGAGACCAACGTCAGTGTCGCCGATGCCCATTAGTGGCTTCTAAGACAATCTGCCCCTTGAAAACACCGGTTCGATCCTGCCCAATTGCACATCCTCGGAGGTATACTAGCTGTGACCAGCCTGTGCCATGTAACCACAAGGCTACGGAGTATATCAGTGACACCCGACCTTTGATAGTAAGCACCTAACAAGCTTCCCTTTGTCTTCATCCCCCATCGACCACTCCAGTCCTCTATATTTTTATATCCTTCGTCTCGTCTTTTCTCTTCCTTCTTCCTGCTTTTTACTTTTACTCGAGATAGAATGTCAATGTCGTTCCCAAAAAGGAAATAAGTTTGCGACTTATCTAATCAACTTACATAACCTAGCAAATTACCGCTATTCCCAAAAGGGTCGAGGACGTTACCGTCTTGTACCCAATATTACGATATCTATTCACACGTGACTTTCCTCTTTCGGAAACACAAAACCGCAGCAAAAGCGACAAAAAAGCGACTTCGACGACCTCAAAATCACAGAAGCAAAAGACGGAAAAGCCACTGAAGCGACAAGAAAGCGACAAGAAGCAAAAGAAGACTGCAGAAGACGCCTGCTTGGGGCCCGCTGCTGGCTCGTGGACGTGGACGTGGACGCTCCGTGCTTACACGGCTTCTGCTTGGGCAAGCTAACAACACTAGTTAACTCACAACTCGCCTTACCCGCCCTATCTATACCCACCCTCGATAACTTCATTTCCCTGGCCTCGCCCTGGAACGTCTCGCGACATAGCCAGCGAGGAAAAAAATAAACAGTAAAAGGAAGACTAGCTGTTGGCCTGGGAGCGACAACCGTCAATCGACAGCGTTTGTTCTCCCACTTATCCTGTCTCATCTCGTCGGCTCTAGAGTCCTTGGTACAACAACCCTTGCGATTTCCCTCGAAACCCAACGCCCGCCCGCCCTTCATCCACGAGAGCCCACAGCTACGACGTCCACCGTCTATATCCCCCTTCCGTGTTTCCTCAACACCCTGCCAGAAAGTGTCCTACTGAGTGCTGGGTCTGCACTGGCTAACAGCTGGGGCTTGACGAGCCGTCTGATATCGACGCTTTCAATACCGCTTGGAGGGTGCTCCATCAACGTCGAAGACATCAGTCGACGACGGGTGGCCAAACAAGACAAGACGATTGCGCAGCAATGGCCTTTGCCGACGCCTATCCAGGCGACTCGGACGCAGACGATGAGTATGAGCGAAGTGTAGTGATATCACCCCACCTTGCCGAGGACTCCGAGGCCTCTCCTACAGACTCTGAAGGCCCTTCGACTGAGAACACTCCTACATATGGGAAGACGGATGATCGTATCTCACCCAAGACTGTCATAACCGATTGGACGGCGGAGGAGTGTGCCAAGTTTGTCGGGAGTCTGGGTCTGCTACAGTATCGTGAAGCGTTTCTGGGTATGTACCGAGACCAATTTTGACTATCTGGAAGGGACAAAGAGCTAACAACCTATTTTTTTAACGTGCCATTATAGAAAACGAAATAGTCGGAGAGGCCCTCATAGCTCTAAAACATGATGAACTAAAGGAACTCGGAATATCCAGTGTTGGGCATCGATTGACCATCCTAAAAAATGTATATGAGGCCAAAGTGAAGCAAGGCGTACCTATAGACCCTGACCACTATGTCCCTCTATGTATGTCCAGTCCCTTTCCAGCTATACATATATATCATGCTCCCTGCTAACTCATCTTAACAGCGGCGGATAAGAGTAGCACAAAAGATGCAGCCACTCAAGATGACATTGCCCTCCTCATACAATCCATCAGACGGCGAGATGACAGACTCATGGCCGCGGAAGCCGAGCTACGAAAGCTCGCAGATGACTACCGAAGACTGCGTGAAGAATTGCTGCCAGTCTTTAAAATCGCAAAGGATAAATCAGCGCCCTTACCATATCAACCGCCTTCGACAGTATCGTATGGTGGATCCACCGCCGCCCTATCTGAATCATATACCCACGACCCTGCTACTTCGCCTTCATTCCTCGGCCAAGAGAAAGCTGGCAGTGGCCTCACTCGAACAATATCTAGGAAGCTTTTTGCCGGCGGTTCAACTCCAAAGACCAACTCCCCTACTCATATACCACAGGCTATACCTGAAGGAAGGGCATTCGCAGATTCATCCACCCTTGACCCTTCGGCAGCTGCTATGGCAGCATCTTCTCATCTCACAGCCTCCATGACAAGTGGCCAGCCTTCTCCTAAGGGCATGCCATCACCCACTTCTCCGAACAGTTTCTACACTCAACAAACTCTTGCATCACGGTCGTATTCCCGCGACCCTCCATCCTCCACCAACAACCGTACCGCTTACGATCACTCTGAAGATTCACAAGGACAACAAAGGCAAGATCGGTCCGGTAACAACCAAACATCAAACTCTTCAAGTCGGCAAGACCATCCTGCCATCTCCACTTCCAGGAATGGGGGATCCGGTGGCGGTGGGAATCAATCATCTAGCAACACGCAAAATTCTTCAGACTCTGGGCCCAGTGTCGAAATATTCAAATCCTTCCGCGTCTCAATGGACGATCCTTGCTACAAAGTTCTTCCAGCTGCTCTTAAGAAATATAACATCCATGAAGACTGGCGGCTATATGCCCTATATATTGTCTACGGCGACCAAGAACGATGCCTAGCGCTCGAAGAAAAGCCCCTCATTTTATTCAAACAGCTTGATAAAGACGGACGGAAACCAATGTTTATGCTTCGACGGCAGACACAGATGGTAGACGGGCAGGTCCCAGGTATATATACCAGCAGCGGAACTACAATTGGCTTCCCTCCCAGCGGCAGTGCTTTTGACCCTAGTACGAATAACAACACATCCATCACTCTAGGTGGGCTACCCTCGGGAGGTTCCGGTGGCCAACCAAGCGCCAGTTTAAGATCTCAACCTCCACAACAAAATTCCATACAATTGCCCGGCGGAGTTTTATAGGAAAATATCGGTTTGGATCGGTTTATGGATTGCACCAAAAACAACATGGTATAACTACTCTTCCTGCATCGCATAGTGGAAGGGTAAACAGCGGGTTTCTTATCTACTTCATTAGCTTCTTTCTTTCAATCTTCCGACTACTTTCCCCCCTTGTGATATCCCTCGACCAGCATTTGGTTCGGTGTCATCTATATACTTCTTCGATAACAATATTATCATTTTTAATACCATTTAGGTAGTTCTATCTGAAGATAAATCATGGTAGTTTTTGATTATCTATTCTCTTCGTCTATATCGAGAAAGCATAACAATCTTCATTGCTGCTGGGGCCAACTAAGGCTCCCTCTATTAATGTGCATACCTAAAAACCGCAATATATAGACCAATCAGTGCCCATAGGGTAACTGAAATAGGGACATCAAAGACGCTCGTAACAAACAGCAGCACAGCGCTATTTAATCTAGTTATAACTAGTAGGTGTCCACGGACACACAAACTGATGTAAAATAAAACGAGTAAATCAAAAAAGACAAAAACGACAGAAAGAATGGAAAAGGAGGGGAAAATAAAACAAAAAGAAAAGACAGAGAGCGCAGAGGAGCAAGCAAGACGGGAAAACTAATGGGGGTAGACGATTACATCGTGGTTAAACGATGCTAAGTCATTCAACGACCTATCTCACCTCCCCACGAGATCTTGGACTTGGAACCGTTTCTAGGAGTGTTTCCGTTGCCATTGCCAACCCCTTCGTTGGTACTTTGGCCCGTAGAGTCGGGAGCGTTGCCAACATCAGAGAAAGGGTTACTCTCAGGAGCATAAACGGGTGGAGGAGAAGAAGGTAGATCTGGCGAGGTGACACCAGTGGACAACGAGAAATTAGCTTGCACGGGCGACTTTCTCTTTGCATGTTTGGTTCCGTCTGCAAATTGGACCTTTCCCTTGACTACACGAGGCTCTCCATCGTCCTCGCTGTCAGATTCACGCTGCATTGACGGGCTGCGGTATGCACCAAGGGCAGCAAGACGACGTTTCCGTTCCGCAGGGGTTTCTATATCATCGTCGAGCTTCGAAACATGTTTGCTGCTACGAGCGGAAGGTACAGTTGGGGAATGTAGGTCTGGTGGCTGCTGTCCTGCGGCAATCGCACGGCGATGGGCAGGCGGAATACGTTCGGTGCCATCGTCCTCGGAGTCATGGCGACTGAGAGATGATCCTCGAGATACTGGGTCTGATAGTTTGCGGCGTTGTCTATCGGCAGCTGAACCCTCAGGACCAGTGTATTGTGCTAACATTTCTGATATTCCCTCGGGCGAGGGCATGCCCTCGACACCTCCACCATGGGGCCCGCTAATAGGCATGCTGCGGTGAGGATTGGCTCGTCCTCGATTGCCATCACGTCGGAAGATGTAACTGAACTTTGAGGAGCCATCGCTGGGTGACTTGGGCCCGAGATGTTGCATTTGGTTGATGAAGTCTTGTTTACTCATTCTGCGGCCTCTCAAGTGATCATCAACATCCCCAGAAACAGGTACAGTGAATCGGATGCCTGCATCTTCCTCCTCAGCTTTCTTTGCCGCAGCTGCGGCAGACTCGCCAGCACCATCGCCGGTCCAAGTACCAAGCTTGGTGATACGACGTAACAACTTAGGTTGTTCCTCTTCAGTACCAGCAGCCCCAGCTCCAGTTTCCTTTTTGGGGGATGAAGGGATAGTGTATTTCTTAATGACTTCTCCGTCTTCATCCTCGACAATAATGGTGTTGGCAAATTGATATGCTCGAGCAGAGCGGCGTGCACGGTTGACTTGGGGATGAGATTCATCTTTTTGGGTTTTGCCAAAGCCAGCCCAGGCGGGGAAGAGTTTCTGCATAATTCCTCCCTTAGGTTCTATACCGGCTGGTTTGCTGGCCTCGCTGCTTTTCTCTTTCACAACTCTGTCGGGCTCAAGTACATTTCCTTCTTCATCTTCAACAATGATATTGTCTCCCTCCTGGTAAACCTCAGCCCGTGGAGAAGTGGGTTGCCCTCCTTCAGAAAGCTGTCGACGACCCCTTGTATCCTCGGAGGCCTCCGCTTCAGGAGTTGGAGGTTTGCTGACTTGTAATTCTCCCTCAGGCCTTCGCTGGGGAGTAATAGCAGACTGACTGATCGGTCCACCAGCTCCCTGGACTCCTTGTTTACGTCTGCGGTTAGGTCTTAGACTCGATGCACGGCTAGCTGGTGTACTATAGGGATCATCATCCCTCTGCCGCCTTAGCAGATTTCCAGGGACTCCAATGGGACCCAGTGTTCCGGGGGGGAATTCTGGTTTCTCCATCGTTTCCCAGGAGTCCTTTCTCATAGAGAGGGAAGTCTTTGATGTAGACTGGATCCTGGGGAGGCGGTTCATCCAGGATGGCCCATCCTCGTGGGCCTGGGTATACGACATTGTCAAGGTTAAAGTGTTGATATGTTTACCCAAGGTGAATACTGCGATGGAGGAGCCATGGACGATGATAGAAGTGATGACCAAGAATGTGGTAATAGGCCAGATCACGTATATGATCATATAGTCTTTAGTTCCTGGGTTAGGGAGCTCTGACAGCGGCTGAGTACTGTGCGTCTCAAGTTCAGCTCGTGCCAAAATACAGGCAAATATGGCACCGACACCAATTGGGCCAAAATGACCTGCAAACAACGCTTCTCGCCATGTTTTAACGTCTGGAATAAACGGTTTCATCATAAGCATGGCTGGGATCCGGCGGAAGCAAATGACTAGAATTGCAAGGATGACCAAGCGCCATGGAACCAAGCCTAGGTCCGGTAGGTTGTACTGTTCCCAGGGGATGATAGCACCGAAGTAGACGAAATAAGCAAGGTTAAGCAACAGATCAATGACGTTGGAAACATGAGATTCTTCAGTTTTTTCCGTGAACCAGCCGTCATTACTGAATCCAATGCCAGCAGAAAACCCGATCAGGAGATCGTCCATCCCCAGTGAACTACCAGCACCGGCACAGAAAAGAGCGAGAACGAAGTAGAAAACAAGGAAACTCTCTCGGTCAATCAGCTTTTTGGATTCAGCAAATTTGATGGCGTGACGACCAGCGTAGCCGATAAGGAAGCCGAATATGGCGCCAAAGATACACTCATACAGGATAGTTACCACTATCCAGTGCTCGGCGACCTTGGCACTGTCTGGACGGTAGGCCATCAGATATAAGGAGAGATAGATGAAAGGGAAGGCCATGCCGTCGTTGCATCCGGACTCCGCGGAGAGGACATCTCGGAGATGCTTGGGCACTCGTTTCGCAAACTTGCCCTTACCGACGACGGAGGACGCCAGCACGGGGTCGGTAGCTGTAACGCATGCGGCGCAAATTAAGCTCTCCAGCCAGGACAATGGCTCAACCATCCACCAGATAAAAAGACTGGTCACCAGCCATCCGATAGTCATGATGGGTAATAGCAACATGATGACGGATCTCCAGTGCCTCTCCATATAGGACTTGGGCAGTTCGACACCGACGGCGAAACATTGCACGACCAGGACGATCCGGGAGCACTCGAGGGTAAGCTTGTCGACGTTCCCCCATGATATCGGGTTGAAAAGGTTTGCGGCGTGTGGTCCGAAAATAACACCACACAACGTGGCAACGGTTGCTTCTCCAATGTAGAGCTTCTCCTTCACAAACAGGGAGCACAGCATGAAAAGGCTTGTGAACCCGCCAAGGATCATGTATGCCAAATGTGGCTTGTCGAAATCGAGGTGGTCCCACGCCATGGCGGAGAAATAAACGAGGAAGCTTCTAGCCAGTCAACGAGCCTGAAACCAGCCAGGCAAAACGGAGAATATGCAGTGGGAAAATATAGTTGATGGTTGTTGGGATGTGTCCGTCTTCTTTTGATATTTTCCGGCTAACAGGATAATATCCTTCAACCCCCTAACCGCTTCCGATGACTTCCGATTAAATAGAGACGTCCACCAGAGACTGCCAAAACGTTATGTATCCAAGCGTAGCTCTTGATCTTACCATAGCCTCAAGCTACAGTCCCGCACCCCCGGTGGGCAGAGGGTATTGAGCTCGGAAGCAGATGTGTGAAAGGCTGGTTGAGAGCAGATGCCGGCAGTTGCTCTCTTCCCTCCGCTTCCTGTGTTCCTTCGAATCGGAGCTATTGGCGGCAGGGCAAGGAGGGGCGATGGCACAGCTATTTAAACCCGAGGAGATTCGCCACGGATGAGAACCGAGCAAGGAACCTCCACGAGAATTTGGCTTGGTTTCAATCCTCCCAGGGCTGTCGCTGGCGTATCCACCGGCAAAGTTTCTGCACGCTTGACTAGGGACCCCATCCACCTGCTTTTGATGATAATCGGGCCGATCTCTGTTTCTGTTTTTTTTTTCCCTTTCATGCAGCCACTCGGCAATCCATCTCACCCTGTCAGCGTCGTCAGCAGAGGGCCGGGTCAAGCTGTGTGGCGAGCAGTCGACTTGACTCGTAGCAGCGTTGAAGCCGGCCGTCGGTCGTCGGTCGTTCTTGTTACTCGATCGAGCAGAAGCAGAAACAGAAAACAGAAAATAAAAAATAAAAATAAAAATAAAAATAAAGAAAAAACGCACTGACCGGAAAACTCTTGGCATGGAGCGGAATGCCAAGATAGGTCACGTGGCGGCCGGGCGAAAAAACGGCAGAAAAGAAGAAAAAACACCATCATCAACATCGAACGACATCGAACGACATCGACGGACGACAAGCAACAAACAAGCAACGACAAGCAACAATCGACAGTCGCTAGGGGACTGGGAACAGCCTGGGATCGCCCGCATTACAAGCATTGATTGAGACAAAACAGTACCGTCGTTTGAGAGGAGATCCTCTTCTGCTGGGATTGTCGGCTGCCAATAAAAATCCTTAAAAGCTTGTCTCCAGCACTGTTCGCTGCTTATCTCTCCTCAGACACTCATCTTACATTCCCCGTATATATTCCGTACGCCCATCCTTCAGTGAGACCAAGAGCGGTGTTTCCCTGCAATATTTCGACCACGAAAGCAGGGCGCTTTGACGGCCGTGAGGCTGCTGTGCGACGTCTAGGGCCACAGGAAGCTTCAGCTTCAAACACGGAATCGTCTCTCGCGCTAGATGTCATTGGCTCCCTTGCGTTTTCGCTATCCTCGCCACACGCGCGAACGGCGGGAGTTAAAAGGCTAGTTAGATAGTTTAGTGTGAGAGAACGAGAGTGGAAAAGGACCTAGGCCTTCTCCTTCTCTTGCATACTCCGTACTGACAGCATCCTGGCTGGCCAGGCGACATGGATAGGTAGCTATCCCCCGACCACGTCACTTGGGGGGGACTCTTCGCTCCACCCATTCGTTCGTCTTCCCGTCATGTCGGATCTGTGACTCAGGATGGGTTTATGCAGGAGCGGAAGCGAAACTGATGCTCGCCTATGACTGGACACGGGAAGTTGAACCCCCCCCCCTCCCCCTCCCTTGCTGGTCATGGAGCATGAAAATAATGCATGAGATGTCAGCCAGTCAGCGTGATCTTCACCCGTACTGGATCCGAAGTCGCTTATCATGCTGTCCCTTCCATATATCTGATGGTGAGGATCATCCAGCTCGTGGGGAAGGTTCAGTAGGCTCAGTCCAGGCATCCAGGTTCGTGTTTTAAGATTCGCATGATCAGACAAAAGGGTGTCTGGATGGACAGGATGGTAGCAGTTATGAGACCGCCTATCAAACCGGGGAGAGGGATGGAGAAGTCCCAGTTCGGCACTTCAAAAAATGTTTTGTTTCCGGAGAGGTCAAACCAGATATCTAACTCCCTCCTCTCTTTAAGGGTTGCCCCAAGGTTCTCCCCGTTAGATAAGGATGTCGATAGCTCCGTCGAGATCCTGTTTTCTCAAACGGAGCCTATCTAAGCTATGAGGGAGCTAGAATTTTGACTCTGCTCTGGGCGAGGTTTAATCACGGCTCGGGAATCTAGTCAAGCAAACAAAAGCCTAACGGCTTCTCCAACGGCTACGGATGATACCCACAAAGCCAATTTGCACATTAACGACCAGGCCGATTCTGACAAACTACTATCCAATAAGCATTATTAATGTTAAACCAACAGTTCGCAGCACCATCACTGCCAGAATCAAAAAAAGAAAAGAGCAAACGGGGGAAAAGGAAAAAAAAAAAAAAGGGCGAAAAGTGGGATTTGAGTATATTTATTATTATATCAGGGGAAAAATATTATAAACTTGACAGGTTGACAGGTTTCTTTCGGCAAAAATCCAGAGTGGCACAGGGGTATATATCAAATGGAACATGTCTTCGACAAAGGGAAAGGATTAGAAATTACTCAAAACTGATCGCTGATGCACTGGAACAGCGGTTCCATAAACCACTACTATTCCAACTCCGAATGTAGCTGGGGAGAAAAGGGGGGTTTCTAAACACGTGTAATAGACGGAGACATGGCGTGTCCCGGGGGAAAGGGGTTAAGGGGTGAAGAGTAAACGCGACTGTTAATCGGAGGTAGGCATGCCTTCGACAACATCGGTCAGGGCTCGCCAGTTGTCAGCCTGCAGCTCTGCATATTTAACTCTCTCCTGACTCCAGTCTTGGTGCAGGAGGCTGATGCGGTACTGGCTCCGTTGGAAAATTAGTATCTCGTCACGGATACACTCCTTGATAAAGACCCCGCGAGCATGCTGCTGGACAATGGACTCCTTGTCCTATTCAAAACAATTAGTTCCTTAGTCGTAGTCATTAGACGAAACAGACGTCCAGGGGAACCACAGGCACGGAATATACCTTGATGATGGCGTCTTCAACCTTCTTCGCTTCCCCAGGTTTAACCGCCTCCTCGGGTTTGGCGCGGATGGCCTGAAGCTTCTTCTCGTTGTTCTCAATGCGGCGTTCGAGTTGGGGGATGTTATCCTTTGCAAAGCGATCTCTCCGATCGAACACGTCTCGCATAGCGACTAGGCAGTCGCGCTGGGCCTTCAGGTCCTCGAGGACTCCCTGGTCCCAAGCCCTTGCTTCGTCTTCTAACAGGCCTTGACTTGTTTGCAAGTGATTGGCAGTCGCATTGATGCCATTGTTTAACAGGGGAACATCACCCGTGTCAGCAGCATATGTGTCCATCGTGCTCTCGGTCAGGGCGTGGAGTGCCCTCGAAACCCGGAATTGCTCTGCGGCTAGGCCTTGGTGGCGTTTTACAAGCCTGTCCATCAGGAGGCATAGGTTAATGTAGATGTCAGCTGAGCGGCGGACACCCGAACGGACAGTGTCAAAGGTATCTGTCAAGTTAGACGGCAGAGAATCTTCCAGATCCGGAGGAAGGGGCTTATCCGTAAATTCCTCCTGTACGGAAATGGAGGCTTGTTTACGCCAAACAGCCAATTCCTAGGCACGCACTCAGTTACGAACGCATAGAACATTTAATCGGGAATATAGACTTACAGTGGGAACAGTAAAGAACATGACAACCAGCTGCTCCTGGTTCAATACCGGATGACGCACAAGAGCATTAGCAAAGCGGACGAGGCCTCTGCGACGTTTATCCAAAAAGGAATTCGAATCCGCTGATAGGTGAGTGCCATTGACTTTAGAAAAAAGTATATGTGAGCATTTTTAAGGTAAGCTTTCCACCTGTTCAACGTACCTGCAACCCTCTTAGGAGGGAGTAACGGGATCTGCCGGAAGGGAAACTTCTTCTGAAGGCAGTCCACCAGCCAGACAAAGTCACTATACCTTCGGATCACGGAGGTAGCCTTGCGCGCGGACTTGACTTCGTAGTTGCGGTGCTGGAAGAGGAACATGCCCTCCTTCTCAGGAAGCATTTGGATGGTGATAATATCCTCCATTCCCGAATTGCTTACTTGACCACCGCCCAATGATCTAGATAGGTCATTACGGCTGGTGTTGGCTTGTCCGCTATCAGATTGGCCAAACCCAGCACCTAATGCGCCCTGATCATAATTTCCAAATCCACTTGTGGACGAGGGGTTCCCAAATCCACCACCTCCCCATCCAGAGCCGACGCTCGCGGGCGCACCGGTCGACTCGTTCGATCTTGTGCTTGCAAAATTCCGAGGTTCAACCTGGGTATTGGGCTTTGACATTGCCTCTGGCTCGGGAGCTTCATTCGTAGAAGAAAACCCATTCGTTGCACCTTGGTTGGGGCGGTGAGCCGGCTGACGGTTTACTGGGCTTCCCCAGGGGTCTGCTTTTGGGCCAAATGAATCCTGTCGTAGTCTACGGCGTGTTAGTGGTATCTGGACAGTGTGTTCTTCCATAGATTGTTGAGCAGCCGTTCCGTTTTCCGCATTACCCGTCTGTATACGAGTAATATAAGGAATATTAGGTTCCGGCAGTCCTAAACCAGTATCAAATAATATATATCAGTATAGTCCTTGGGAAATAACAGCGGGATATGGATGGAGAATTTCAACTTACTCTTCCTGCGTTCGTCAACGCTGTCCAGAGTAACATCTTCACCCTCCTGCGCCAGTCCTACAAGCGCCAGAAGAACATTAAATTCACTCCTCTCCAGGCTCTGCTGAGCTCCATTGTTCGTCACCAAATTAAGGATCCCCGTCTGCTCCGAGGAGCTCAAATGCGTGCTTCCGAGAAGGCTTTTCACGTTCTCAACACTGATGACCCCGCCGGCACCTCCCCCAGCACCAGCCAGCGCGTCAAACGCATCTACGTAGCTCTCGGGGACTTCCGTCGAGGGTAGAAGGGTCTTGACAATCTGCTGTCTCGAGCCGGATTTCCTTGGTGTAGGCATATCCCAGGGCGATGAATATCCGTTGTCGTTGTTGTCCTCGTTGTCAGCCACGCCTCTGGAGTTGCTGTTGCTGTTATTCTTATTGCTGTTGCTGTGGGACGAGAAGCCCTCGTCTGCTCCAAACAGCGAGGAGGGATCGTCCGCAAACAGGCTTGATTTCACTCGCGACGAGGATGATGACGGCTGCGCTGCCTTGCTGGCCAGCGGAGAGTCCTCGGGAGAGGATCCGAAGAGCGACATTGGAAGGCTGCGAAGGGCGGTCGCGTACGGTCGAGGGTAGCTGGTATTTACAGGGGCCTCAGAGCGCCAGACCTCACGGGTTTCCGGCTGTCGGACGGTGACTAGCTAAGGAATATGAAGATCTTTCTTCCGGCGGCACCAGAGAAGGGATGCTTGTGCGATGCAGGTCGATGATGCAGCGGGTAGGTGGTTAACTTAGCTAGGATCAAGCTTAAGTAGCTTATGAACACCGCCACTGAGGCTCTTCGCGCGAATGGATCTGAAGATATTTGGGCTGGAGACCCTCACAGACACGCAGGGCAGGCGGTAGAACCGGCGTGTGTTACCTTGCTGCCGTCGGGCTGTGGGCGAGCAGAAGACGGACGGTTTAGCCGGCGTTGTTGGTGTTGATGAGGCTGGGATTTTGGTTGCGACCAGGAAGCTTTCGCCGTTGGACTAACTAGTTAGTGAGTTGACCATGTAGGTGATTTGATAACTGACCAGTTGGCTAGCAGCAGCCAGCTGAAGCTTGATGGCAACTGTTGTTATGCTCGGACATCGAAGCCAAGGACGCTGTCTTCGTTACTATACAGGGAATGAAGGGTTATGTTGCTTTAAAGGCTATTGTTTGGTCTCAATTCATATTTCTAGGTTCGTCAATATACAAAGTCGTAGATAGTTACAGCTCAAATCTCATCTTATACTCCATCTTCGCAAGGAACGGCTGGCGCAGGACAAAGCGGCTGCCCGGCCTGAGCGAACACTGCCTGTACCTCTGCTAGATCATCAGTTTGAGGGTATTGTAGGATACTCTCCCAGCCTTTGCCTCCGGTGGCGATGATCTGCTCAGGGACAATTCGGCCGGGGAACCACCGATCACGCCTGATGCTGGCCTTGTCAGCTCCTTCAACGGCTGCTCTGCTTGCTCGTGTCGTCCTCGCACGCTTGCCTGGTGGTCCGTTCTGCGGGGAAAGGCCGCCGAGTCTCAGCCGGTATTGTTCAAGGTACATCTCAAAGAGAATAATATGGCGGATATACGGCGCGACATCCTCAGCAATGACAGACGTGCCATGTTCAAATGAAAGAGGCCGGGTATTGGAAACTAGAGTAGAGTAATCCGGCGGGTCAATGATGGCTTGGAAGGCATCTTGGAACGCAGTCTTGTGAAGCTGTTTCGGTCTCTGGGGAGCAGTCCGTTCAAGGACGTGTTCTATCACATCATCCTGTTCTCCTATGCATACCTCAGCAGGACCGAGGATATTCTCCGCAAGTGTGCTCAGCGTTGCACCTATCTTTGCAGATAGCCGGTTGAACTCCGTGCGGTGATCTGACTGAAGCAGCTGGTATCCCTCGATGTAATCTAGCCTATGCTTCTCGGGAATTGGTGGCATGGATGGATCGAGTGGGCGCTGAAGATTTACCGTCAGCATCATATAAACCTCGCACGCATTCTGTGATTTACTCAATAATAAACTCACCTTGATCCCATGATATCCTTCGTCACAGATTATATCTAGGCAGCTCCTGACATCGGCTGCTAAATCCATTTGCTCCAAGCTGTCGACTAGTCCAAAGCATCCGCCGCTAATTCGACCATTCCCAATTTCGAGCCAATCCATCAACCCAATATCCCATTGCTCGATGCCTTCAGTCAACAGCTGCTGTCGAAGCTCAAGGTGATCTTGCTCGCCAACGACAGTGTCGGCACTATACCATCCCATGCCTTCCATGTAGGTATCAGAACTTATCGTCCTGTACAAGTCATTAGAATCCCCTGAATCCAAGGCTTCCGCAGCCACTATCCAGTCAAGCCCTGATTTTCGACTACCTACTCCCATTTGGCACCAAAAGCTAAGCCACATGATGGTTGCTCGAAGGTCTCTCCCTAAAGCAAGATACAGGTCTGATACAGCTTTGCGGTCTAGCAGATGGCCCTCGTTTGCGCAGAGCAATAGTATATAATCTACTGCGAGGTCACTAGGCGGTGGTTGAAGCCGTAAAATAGCATGAAGAGACATGCTATCTAGTGGAAGAAGATCTTCATCCGTGCACGACATGATAATCGGCCTTTTGGATTGACTGATCAGTGCAAGTACCCCAGTCCAAAATTGTTTATCTTCATTAAACAGGATATCAACTTCTTCAAGCAATATCAAAGACTGCTTTTGGTTTATATGAGGCTTTGGCACTTCCTTACTTTCCGCTTTTGACGATTTTTTCATCGAATCAGCATTGGTGGGCTTTGGTGTGCTTTTCTTTGCAAAGAAGCTTGCCATAGTGCTTTGTTTGGGGCCTTTTTCATTATCAAGAGCCAATGAGCTAACCTGGTTCGATTCACTATCTGTCTTGGCCAGGAGTTGAACAAGGTGATTTTGGGTCATATCACCGACTCTCTCGATTATGTCCCGCGCACCCCTTCGTGTCCCAGCATTGATTTCAAATACTTCAAATCCCAATTCTCCAGCGACAGCGTAGACAGCCGCCGTTTTCCCACTCCCTGGTGGTCCGCTGAGGAGTATCGTATTTGCCATCGGCCGTTTGGACGATGCAGTTCCAAAATCATTAGATCTAACCATTGATCTTTTCGTGGGGATCGTAACTCCTCCCGCCAACTCATCCTCAGAATTCTGAAGTTCACTCATGACACTATCTTCATCTTCACTCGAAGCAATAAAACCATCTAAATCTTTAGGCTTTTTTCGCTTCCTTTTCCGTGTTCCCTTATTCTCAGGCGTTTGTCGTGGGCTGCTTGTGCATAACCCTGTATCGACCGCCGACACTTCGTGGTGTTGTAGCCAACTTCGCAAGATAGACGTCTCAGAGCCTAGCAAAAGAACTTCAGCAGCCGTTTTGGGGGCGTATTTTTGAGGCCATGGGGTATCGTCGTATTCACCCCTGTCAAAGGAGCTTGTGGTAGTATCCAAGGATGATGCAAGTTTTACAAGGGCCGGATGTGCAGTTTGAGGTAAAGTATCCAGCTGAGTCTGCCCTCCCTGCTCAAGGTTGCATACTGCAAGTTTCTCAATAACGGCTCTTTTAAACTCGCTGCACGTAAGAACGTGCCTCTTTGGGCGCCGTAGAGCTTTTGATCGTTGTCGGTTGGGAGTATTGGAGTTTGACTCCGTGAGGGGTGAGAAGATTGTTGTGAGAATACTTTCGGCATCAGACACCGAAACAGTCGATTGCTTTGCTTTTCGCTTTTCAAACATTACATTAGTTGCAGCGCATATAGGCTCAATGGGGCCACGGTTGTGCACCATGTCCCGAGGTGGCCAGATAGGATCAAGAGGCTCCCTATTCCCATGGGCCTTCTGCTTTTGACTCACAGAGGGAAAGGAGAGAGGAGGGAAGATTCGCGGGATCGAGGCGGAACTTTCGGGTTTTGGTTCAGTTGACGCTTGTAGAAGTGTAGAGTTGTTTAAAGCATTGGATTGCTGGGTATTTGACTGCTGAGGCGGTTTATTGGAGGCTTTCTGTTGGCCCTTTGACAGGAAGAAAGGATGAGTAGGTTTGGGTGGACCCGTAGAAGATGGTCCTGTACGGATCTCACTCTTTGGTTGCGCGGCTTGTCGTTTTAACTCCGAATATGTGGTGCGGCCGTTCATGATATCATTGATAAGTTGCCCAACATTTTGTTTTGACTGATTATTCGGATTATATGCAATCTTTGCAATTTTAACTCGGTTGACAAATTTTGCAACAGTATTGAGACGAGAGGACTTCCTTCTTGTATTTTGGCGAGTTTGGCTGAGTTCAGCACTTTCACCTGGCGGGAAAGCGCGGAGTAATGTCGGGTCCAATTGCAAATGCAACAGCTTCTTCCCTCTCTCTTGCTTCTTATCTGGTGCATCCTGGGTTCGGTTTTCTAATCTCAAGCCAGTCGAAGTGCTCGATTCGCAGTCATGTGTCACTTGCACCTTAGAGGGGGTATCAGTCGGCGATATAACGGAGGGGGATGGTGGTTGCATATTTGGAAAAGCATTTGACGAAACCACCGCGCTAATGTTAACAGGACCATGCTCTGCTATCTTGCATCGCTTCCTCCGATGGCCTGCCGCCTCCTCAGCGTCGTTCAAATCGTTTATCTCAGGAAGCTGGGATACAGCATGGGTGGAGACATCCCCATCGGACGACGAATTTCCATACAGATTTACCAAAGAGGTATTCTCGGGCATACGCCCAGGAGGTTGATGTCCCTCTTTTTGTCGGGGAGGTTCTGGCTGGATAGGCGGAGTGATGCTCTCATCTAAAAAAGCAAAAAATGTCAGCCAAATACATGCAAACCAACTATCCCCGAGTATATCGTACTTTTACTGAAGAACGGAAGAAGCGTTTGTTGCTCAACCGCCCTTCGTACCATATTGAGCGTCATCGACACATCCACCAAGCTATATGTAAAGCAGTAATCCACATAGACAGCAGACCAAGCCCATGACTACCTGGCCTTCTCCGTCCGCTGCATCATCACTGTTGCTTCACTTTGCCGATGAATACACTGTTCAACCAGGAGCTCATCGACCTCCCGTCGTCACGCTTTCGCCTCCATCGCGTTCTTCTTTAACGCGCGCGTCGACTCTTCCAATTACGTAATAATGAGGCTCGGTCGGATTGATTTTATCCTGCCGCCGCCGAAACTCAAAAATTTTGGATTGCAAAAAAGAAAAAAAGCGAAAAGAAAAAGTTGAAGATTGTGAGGTTGAAAGGCGTTGATAGAAACACTTGACAGACCTGGTATTAACCTGTGGGCAGTGGGCATAAGTGACCATGTCTCTACCGGCACCGTCTCTGTTAGCCCAGCTCCCACGGCCGCTGGCCAATGCCGGTGGGAAAATCCAGTTCGGGGAGGTCTATGGCATCCAGGGTCCGAAGAAGCGCAAGCGGCATGAAATCACCGCTGCCATCGATGGCGAGGGAGTCAATATATACAATGTGAGTTGGTTCCATGTGTTAATCCCAAAGCTGCGATGTTGAAAGCTCACAGTCTTTTAGGCTCAATTCCCGAAATTGGTGGCTTCCTATGCAATTCCGCCTCAGGCATCACACTCATGTCCACCATGCTCTATACGGCAGAAGCTCCCAGGAAACTCAGGGATCAAGAGACAGACATACTGCGCAGTAGAAACTTCAGGAATGGAAATCAAATGCTTCGTGGATGAGATGGTTTCCGGCAGAAGCACGCCAAATATATCTACCGCCTCTTTCCCCATTAAAGACACTGCCAGCAGACCCATTTTTGTGGGCACGATCCCTACGGACAGTCCATCTGAGGAGGATTCTGATGCTTTTGATGTCATTGTTGCACATCAGGATGGCCGGATAAGAAGGCTTTCTTCTGATTTAAAGACAGAAAGATGGACCATTCGTTCGGAAAGCACGTGGTCTTCCCGTGAGCTTGCAGCTTGTTTTACCGTGGGCTTCGAAGACGCACGCAAATTCCTTTTCCGCAAGCGTGAGGATATAGTAGCATCTGTCCTGGGCGATGGATTTGGAACAGATCCTAGCAACTCCACCATCTTAGTTTTGGTAGCACATACCACTTCTGGGGTGTTTCAACTCAACGATGTACAGGTTATATTCTATTCGATTTCTGCCCAGTCTCATACTGGCAATTTTCAACTCCAAGCCTCCGAGCCTCTGAAACATCTAATGACACTGAACCTACCAGTGCATCCAAGCCAGGACTTATTGACCGCTCATAACTACCACTGGAGTGCCAACTTTGTTCCTGGAGAACTGTCTCTATCATCCAAATCCGGATTCATAAGCTTCGATATTACCCAATTTTCTCCTAAGGTGTCATCGTGTGTCATAATAGAGGACGAAACTTTTTCCTCTATCATGCGCATATCCCCCCACTCTATTATTGCCGGCGGTAAATCTACGCTCTCCGTTTATGATACGCATTATCAATCACTCCAGGCATCGCTGCCATTGGCCGAAGTTTCCAAGTCCGCATCAAGTAAGAAACAGGATGCTACGAGCTCTTTGGAATTTATATCCCACTTTTCTAAACTTGATGTCTTGGTGGCAGCATACGGCAGCAGTCTCTGCAGCTTTGATCTCGCCTCTATACACAATGAACGACACGTGTCTAGAAAACGGCCAAGAAGGAGTCTTTTGATTGATTCGATAGGAAAAGGAATTATATCAGGAACTAGTGAGAAGAAGACGTTGGCAATCAAAGGGTCAACTATGGAAAATGTCCTTTCAGAAGAACGGCCTACTGATCAGTTGAATGAGTTGAAGAAGGAGCTTGCTTCCGTGACAAATCGATCCACATTTGATGCTGTTGTTAAGGCAAAACTTTGGGGCAAGTCAGAATCTTCCAAGGATAAAGGCGACAGCATTCCACCGGATGGCGCATTCATTGATCCAGAAAACATAAAATTCATTCTAACGAGAATGTTTAAACTCAAGACAATCGCCGACAGGCCGACCAACGACCCAGCGGCAGTCAAACTTATCGCGTTGCTGATTCCCCCAATGACGTTTAAGTGGCTTGTCAAGTCAAAGCAATTAAATGTCGCTAATATCGAAAATGCTTTGCGGCAATCTAACGGCCCTCACAGTCTATCCAAAATCCCACCTGGCGCTTTAATTAAGGCTCTGACTTCTTACGATCCATCTATGAAGTTATTATTAACATTGCTGGGGGGACCTGGGTACCTAGAGGCCACGGAACTGGCACATGCCCTTTGTGAACTGCTCAATGTTGCTCGTCAACAGTCAAACGTCTCTGAGTCTTCTCAAAAGTCGGTTGCGGAGGCTGCCCATGTCGAGTCCCCAGACAACGCAACCAGCACAACAGATAACAAAGAAGTACCAACTCCAAGCCTAATTCTTGTGAATGCAATCACAGGCTTGAATTTGGCCCTCAACAAGTTGCATTCGCATTCGTTGAGCTATGTTACCAAATCTATCCGAGCTACGCTGTCGAATACCGACGTTCTTTCAATCATCCATCACCTCCGTTATTCCCTTGCCACCGGCGGCCATACTTCCCGCTTCACGGAAGTACCTCCAGCAGCTTTTGCTAATTCCAAATTTCCGTCTTTGTCTCTCTCCGTAATCGTTGATCTGCTTACTGCCTGTATCGACGCTGTTGGGCCAAGTGGATGGATATCAGCAGCTGGATTTGCGGGCGCTGCAGGAAGCGAAGCGTCCCTTATTGCAGATATGAAGAGTGAAGTTGCAGCCACTCTTTCTGCTATTGACGAAGCTACCTATTTGAAAGGGATACTACGAGAATTTATACGGTGCTGTGAAACTTCTGTCCAGCACTCGGCCGCCGCATCCAAATCTCAGCGTGCGATCGGTAATGACACACCATCGAAGACGCATAGTGCAAAACTCAAGCGAAAAGAATACCATCACGGAGCTCGTATCCTAGTTTACGACGTCCCTGAGGATTCGGCTACGTTGGAAGGAAGTGATTCAAAGATGTTGCCCCTCTCTCTCAAAATAAGTGGCCCTCAGTCTGGGGTTAACAACGATGAACTGTCCAAAAAGAAAGTATATAAATCCACTGGCGAGATCCGATCCAGGAGTGGGAGAGAGATTGCTCACAATAAGCACAAGGCTGTTGGCAAATACTCTTTTGAGAGGATTGTTATTTAGCGTTTCTAGACAGATTGATCAATCCACGACTACATACAGTAGAAAATCAACATTGCTTTATCAAATTGCCATATCAACACCCCAGTAGCCAGCCATTTTCATCAGGTGGGTGAGAAGCAGAAGTTTTGGTAGAAAATCGAACAGTCAACTTAAGGACAGAAATATTGAGGCATGAAGACCGTTGGAGAAGAATACTACCCACTCGTTTACTCCAATCGGTCGTTGCCTTCTTGCCTGGCTAAACTCATTCTCTGAAGGCGAACAAAATTATTCGCGGGAGTAGTAAATTGATGATTCAGAAAAGTGACCAGGAATCATATACATGGAACAATGTACATAGTAGGTAACCATAATGAAATGTTGAATCTCTTGAACATAGCAAAGCACAGAAAGCGACATGAATATACGAAATCAAACTGGATTTTAAGTAAACGTAAAGATGCCAGGCACGCATTAAAAAATATATAGGTTTCACTCAGCAAAGGATCTCATGCCAATAACAAGGTAATATATCAAACACACTGATCAATTGGTGACGGAGCACGCATTCAACTCCAGCAAACAACGAATGCAACTGAACTAAACGCCGGCCCATATTCTCGAAACATCAACCGTAACATGGAAGAGGCGATAAGATCATAGAAAAAGGTATAGTCTGTGAAACAAGTGAACACCGAGAAATTTCTGAACATAAATCGTGAACGGCACGTCAGACGTATTTTGAAAACAAACGCACAGCAAGTCATTGTATAGTTTCAGAAGGTAAACTCAAGTGAAAGCTGATCAATCAATAGCGATGGAGGTCGAAGGGGTCTATACATCATCGGAGAACAAACGAAGGAGAGGGAATGACTGAATCGAACTGTTTCTTTATCATTTTGTCTTTTGTCTTTTCTTTTCTGTTGTTGTTGAAGAATATCCATTGCGCTGAGCATTTTCCGTTTCAGGTAGACACTGTCCGTGGTATACCACCGAAGCTGTGAAAATGTTTGTGAGTCTTCAGAGGCCTTCATGATATCGATTGGATTCACTCGCCAGTGATGAGAATCGTGTAGAGGGTCACCACTAAAAATTTCGCCCCTGAATGTGTGCCAGACGAAATTGACGTATTGAGGCCAATTCGATTAATATTGGAAAGTGAAACGACCAACTGGTATCATCTTGCAAGACATGCTATGGAAGATGTGAATTCCAATGCCTATCCAGAACAGGAATTCCGAGCTCTCAATTTCATCTTCTGGCCTTGAGCTTCTAGTGCATTGGACATCAGCTTAATAACTAGGGATGAATATTGGGTTAGCAAGCTCCTGTAGTTATAAGCAAGGTTATAAAATCCGCTTACCTGGCCAGACACCGGCCTTGTTTAGCAAAAAGGCAGCCGAGAGAACAATTTTCGTTCCATAACCGCCCTCAACCAGACTAGGCAGATGATTCCATGATTCTGATCCTGTTGTGCCAAGATGAGACATCATATTCTTCATTTTATTCTCGACATTGTTCAAGATATCCTGGATCTTCCGCATCAGATTGCGATCCTCCTCCTCTAGTAAAACTGTCGCTGGGACTTCATTGAAATCAACATGGTCTTGGCCTAGAATTCCAAGGAATGGTCCAATACGCTCTTGAACTGCAGTAGCCCATTCCGCTAATACTTGTGCTGAATCGAATAAACATATGGCGTTTTGGATTGGTAGATCACGGGAAGTGAACTCAGCAAAGGTATTTCCCCATTCATTCGACATCGAAATAGAATCGGCGGCATAGAAGGCAGCCTTGCGAAGAAGGCGCTCACTTCTGGATGCTTGCATGTTGTTTTGTCCGCCAGAGGCAAGTAAGGAGAGATCATCATTTGAAGAGCATGATATTGTGAGGTCTGCAACTCCGTAGTCCGCAAGGGATTCTAACATTTGAGCTGAGATCGCGTCATCATTGGTTGAAAGTGAGAATTCTGACTCGGGGTTACTGTTAGAAAGCGATACGGATTGGACCGCTTTGGTCAGTTCATCCGCCATATTGCTCCAATCTCGCTGCCAAAAGGCTTCTTTCGACCGGCCAAGGTTTACGTATAATCGAACATAAGCCAGATCCAATAGTGGTATGCTGTCCGCAGATAACGGGCCGGCGCCAAATGGGTTTGGTCGTTCTAAACTGTGCGTAGGGTTACTACTCCAGGCTCGTTGCCAAGCTCTGATTGCAGGTTCGATGTGTACATGCATTGCTTCGGTCTCTTGATTCGACCATTGTTTGCCCAAATGTAGCTGTCGTGTTTCCCAGACATAGTTATGCAAAGCATGGATTAATATCAAGCATCCGAAGGTACTTGGCCGCAATTCACTAGAGAGAGATCCGTCTGCTTGGATGGTTGACCCGTATTGGTTTTGGGATGGAGTCTGGCCCGCAGCAAGCAGTGACTTAAGGGCAGTGGAGAATTCAATCAATGTGTTCTCAGCACCTCCCATGGCCTTCCAAGCCTCGGGAGATTCGGCTGCCCAAAGTTGTTCTTCACAAGGCAAAGTAAGACGGATTTCGGAATTCGTAAGAGCAGGAGAATGGTTGTACGTAGAAACCAACAAGCTAGAAAGAGTGAATATGGCATAAAGCGTTCTCTTTCTTTCCTCAACGATTTTCCACTTTAGCCATTCTTTCCTTTCATTGGAGACCTCTGTGTGTTGTCTCATCCATGTCTCCATATTGGGATCTAACAAATCGCTAGAGGAAGAATCGTACCCAAGTTGGTCAGCAGGCAGAGATTCGGGCGGATGGTACTGGGTTAATTCAGCAGCTCGGGCTAGACTAATAAGGGCCGCGCAATGAGTGCTAGCAATATCAACTGCTGTTTTGTCATCGCAGTTATGACCGTAAATAACATTAAGTAACATCGCTTGCACAAGCCAAAGTGGAGTATTATGAAGCGAATTATCACGGTTGTAGTTGGAGCGATTGATAGCAGCGGACATATCAGCTCTCCGTCTTTCCTCAAGATAGAGCTGAATCATCTTCTTGGCGGACTCGAAAAGCTCCTTTGATGTGGCTGAATCGTACTCATAGAGGGCACCAATAGCGGCCATAGAGAGAATAAGACACCCACCCCCGAGTGCAATATTGCCTGCAGTGCCGGAAGATATAGGTTTCCCTGAATATTCAAGAGCAGTGAAATCCAAGGTTGGAATGTGGAGGAACGGTAAATGTGGATGAAAATATGTAACATAAGCAGAGACATATCGCTGAAGATCGTATGTACTTGGTAGATTGCAGACATGTTGGGAGTTTCCTAACATGCTTCCGGGGCTTGAAGGGCTCATAGGCGAGGCACTAAGGGAGTGTTGCGAGAATCGGCGGTTATTGAAACCCGAAGGCTGCTGTAAAGTCCCCATCAAAGCCTGTCGCGTTGAATCAGTGATAGAACTCAAGTAGGCTGGTTGAGAAGTTTGTTTATAGCCAGATCCAAAGGACTGAAGGCCATTTGTTCCACTCACGGATGAAATATGGAACGTACTGGTAGGGGCTCCCGAAAGCACGGGTCCATTCATTGACGCCAGAGAAGTAGATGTCGAGAAAGAATTATTAGAAGCATGTCCATGTGAGAGAAGAGACTTAGGGGACACAGTATCGGGAGGTGCAGCAAACTCAGGAAATGTAAGACTGGCGAAGTCCAAAGCGTATTGTTGTGATTGGCTTTGAGCTTGGGATTGTAGTGTGGCGGGCCAGGTTGTGCTACCAGCGGATGTTGTGGCAGCTTGGTTCGCAGCGTCGAGGATCGCTTCGCTGAGCCCACTTTGACTTCCTGTACTCATGGCAGATGGCGATGAGCCATCAATTGCGGAGTCGTTGGGTGCGAATGTCACGGCGTTATCGAGACCATTCAGCCATTCGAATTTAAGGTCATCTTCAAGTGTACTCTGTGTAGCCGTCATATTTGAAAAATTATGTGAAAAGGGGGATGCAGGGGAATCGGCAAAGCCATGTGGTGAGCCTGCAAAATGCAGCTGTGCAGGGTTAATTGTACTTCCCTGGCCCATCATTGCGTCACCCATACCAAAGGGGACATCGAAGCTCCCGTAAACTGGTGCAGTGCGAAGAGCATCAGGATATTCATTGGTGAGAGCTGCGGTATCCAGTTTTGATAGCCCATTCAAAGAGCTAATACCGGAGCGATAGTCGAAATTCGGAAGATTTGGGAGGCCTCCGAGACTGGGATGATGGGTGTGGCCTGGTTGCGCAGGTCTGGAGGCAGCATTTGTAGACGCAAACATTCCCACAGCCGCTCCTTCGACGTGACTGATAGTGTTGGCCCTAGGTCTCATGGTATTGGAGCTTCCAACTATTGAGTTTTTCCGCACTCGCGTTGAGCTGCTCATACTTTCCCTTCTAACATTTCTTGGGCGTGATGCTGGCGTGGTAGCCATATGAAGTTTTTGCTGATGCCTTAAAAGTAGATCTCTTCGAGCAAAGCATCTCGTGCAATCCGGACATTCAAAGGGCTTCTCCTTTGTGTGAGATCGTTCATGACGCTTCAAATGCTCCAGACGCGCAAAGGACCTCGTACAGGTGACACATACATGCGGACGAGGTTTATCTGTTTTCGGAGGAGGCACATCTGGGTTGGGCCCTTTCTGTTGATTCTTATGAACAGAGATCTGATCGGCTGGACGGGATACTGCAATCATGATAAGCACCGTTCGGGCAAAAGCAACAAACGATGGGATGCCGCAATGTAACCCTTACCAGGACCATTCTGCATAACTTCATTAATCGCCGTCAGGTCCTGACTTGGCTCGTTATTAAGAGTAATATTATCGGCCATCATGGTAAATTTGGATATCGTAAGAAATTCAATCTTGATCTTAATCGTTCTCGGCAATAATATTGAAATGCGCGAAGGCAAAGAGGTGGCTTAGGTTAGGAATGCTGGGTTAATATAGGGGAGTTGGATGAAATACCGAGTTGACGGTAGATACGGGACAGTTGACATGTAGAAAAGGCTATTGACGTGTAGTTAGCCGGAACAGGGACTTTGACGGGTCACACAAGGATGTCTGTAACATCACATAAGATGAAAGTGAAGAAGTCAGCCATATTAACCCCGGGCATTGGCGTGAAGGCGAAGTGATAGCAACAGCAACATGAAGAATAGAAAGGGGCGCCGCAAAGATATCCAAAAACACAGGTCCACCAAGACAAAGGTGAGTAAGATTGCACATACGTAGAATTGGGGCCGTTGTGGTTAGAGACAAGACGCAACTCACACAAGTAAAGATAGCAGCCAGTAAAATGCCGAAGAGCCTGAAGGTCTCAAACAACGACTAGGTATAGCCACACCAGGCCGGAAACTGTTCCCCTAGACCCCCTCCTAGTATCTCAAAGAAAGAGGAGAGCACGTCGTCCGATTAATCCAGCGGAAGCTAATCAAGGACTGTTGTTATGCGTCATATGGCGGGCGATGTAGTTGCTCAGCTTCGATGTACAAGTAAGACCAGAGAGGCTGATACCGGAGGCTAGGTGGGAATTGATATCGAAGTACTGTCTTGTAAAAACAGCGGTAAGGATGGCTAGCAGAGTCGCTGCGGCGGATACAGGCTATGAATGGATCGCATGCGTTGAAAGGACGTTCATTCGCTGGCGGGGAGATTGTGCGGTGTGCGAGAGATGGTCGTATGTGCTGAATTTGTTTGACCTGTGTCTGGTGGACGAGAGGACGGGTCGAAAATGAACCCTTGCGAGAAGACGTGGGCGGCAAGAGTAGTAAGCAGGAGCACTGCCAACGTCTGGTATGAATCGTTTCAATTGCCCGCGAGAAGTGAGAGAGATACTGCACACAGCGTGTTGTGTTTCAGCGACGCCAACGCAGGAGATGAAATGTATGAGATGTCAGCGTAAAGCAGAAGAAAGGGAGAGGGGGGAAAGCGAGTAGCAGTGAGTGTAATTGCGATATGGCCTTCGGCTGAGGTCGAAAGCAGGCCGTCCAACAATGCTAGATCGGCGTCCAGTTGTCGTCCTGTTGTTCGTGCTATTTCTTCTCTTTTGCTTCAGTGTCTGCTGCTGCTCTTTGCTGACACTCAGATGATGCTGCTGCTACAACTCTGCCGCTCTGCTCTGCTGCAGACCTTGTCCTTCGTTCTGGCTGTGCTGGTATTCGGCCTTGAGGCTTAAGTATATTATTATTGGTGGCGGCGCTCGCATCGTCTTACATGGAACGACGGTATACTTTCTCCAGCGGTTCCCCTGTATCATGTTAGCGTCGTTCCACACCGAGACTGGGGTTGCTCGTACTAGTATTTCCTTAGCCTGGTCCGTTAGATTACGCTCCCAAACCAAGCTGCTGTTGTCAATCCATGAGATCCATGACACTCGGGCATCCCACAGTGACCGTTAACCGCTATTATGGGGGATATATCAAGTCTCCATGATCGAGTGTGTTGCTCAGCGATTTCGAACGATGTCGTCAAGGCGACGTCGTCCGAGTTACTCAATGCGGAACAGCGTGTATTGGTTGTGTACTTTTACACACGGTTACATTACATCAATACATGAGTTGGGTTTACTTTACTTATATAAGCAAATTGTTCCTGGAAGCTTCCCCTGCCGGGGTATCAGGAGGCGGATGGAGAGAATCTACAGTCTATAAAGAGAGAGAGAGAGAAGCAGACGATGGGGAGTAAGGTAGTCGCATGGCTACATGCCTACGGGTTACTGTTGTTGAGACTCTACTCTACCATACTACAGATATTTATATGTAGCACATCGAGCTGTCGCAGTACTCTGTACACACAATACAGATCAGGGTACGGAGTGCTGCAGGTGTAACGGGCGGTAATAATGACTCCGCTCTCGACGACAAGGTCACAGCCACAATGCATACCATGGGAGCGAGAGGTTGCCATAGAATTCTGTCGAGAGAAGAAAATATGTGCAAGCGGCAGACGGAGGGATATTCAGCAGGAGCAGTGATGCAAGACGGGATCTGTTGATCCATCCGCTAAAGCCGGGGGGATCGAGCGTCCTGGCTTGCATATTCCTAACTCATGTCGAAGTTGCAGCATGCAAGTTCAGCCTTCGGGCTTCCGAGGCGATCCTGCGAGGAACTAAAGAGAAGTATGGTGGCCCGCTGCAAGCCCGCGTAGATAGATATTTCATTGTTGGACATAGTAGTGTAGATCGCCGCTCGCTCCGATGATAAGAAAGAGAGATATAGCCAGCTTAACCATTCCAGACCGCGCTGCGTTGCGTTCATAGACCTAGACTTCGGTCTCTTCGTTGGAGTTGCTAGCCACAAGGCATCAGGGTTCCCATCTGGGCGGAAGCGGCATGGAAGTCGTGTTCCGTTCCACAGACAGTTCATGTTCATGCAGTCTTGATGTCGGATTTCTCGATGGAAGAGAAGATCATGTCCTAGTTTTCAGCAGTTTCCAATTGCCCACCTTGCCCGAATATCAAAGAAATCGGATCAACCCAACCCCATTTATCCGGTACATCCTGGGAAGTTACATCCGCTGTCTCGACAGTTTGCTTGTATAGTTAATGATTTTCTTCTCTTGTCCTCCACCCTAAGATACATGCACAACGAGTTGGACAACAGAGAACAATCAGCGGCTACCATGTGCAGGAAATACACACAAATACACGGAGAGGGTATGTTTTAAAACGGATAACGGGCAGGTCATGTTTGAGTTCTGAAATTTGGGCTATTTATACGGAGTACTTATTTCGTGTTCGCAGGCCCACAGAACTGGAATAGACGAGCACAGAAAACCTCGGCACACGCAACCATCCAGTCGTTTCCCCTGAACTCCGGATTTTGATGGCAGTGCGGCCAACACGAGCCTTTCCCGAAGTCCTAAGATGGCCCCTGACGGCTTCTTCCCCACAAATTCAACATGAGCTGCCATCGCGTGGAGTCTGGGGGCGCAGTGGATCCTCAAAACTGTCTGCAGACAACCAAATGCACTTGGGTATCAATCTCTGCCTTCCATCGCGATGAGATGATACAGCATCCAGAAGCTGAGGAGCCGTGAAACACTCTTGGCCAGACGGGTTCTTAATTTCAGGATCAGGAAAGAGGAATTGGAGACGGCTGATGTAGCAAGAAAGTGAAGGTGACCAAGGACTCGACGTCCAGCCTTTTCCCTATGGATACAATTCTGGGGACCTCATTTGGTTTGGGCTTGACTAGCTCGATATGCTGCCAAGTTATACTGATCACGGTATAGTGAGTACTCCGATCGGATTCCCGAGTAATCATCATTCAACGGAACAGCCTATCACCATGTTTGGAGCCAGTGCAGAGCTATAGCTATAGTGCACCCAAGCGGTCTATGCTCCTGCGGAGTAACTATCAGTACGCCTCAGTAAACTGCCGTGGCCACAATTCCCAACAGCTGTACTTCAAATGCGTCGTCAAAGCCATATCTCTCCTCCACGGACAAGAAGCTCTCACAGTGCAACCTCGGCTTTCAACTAGCCAAGGCCTGGGCATTCAAACCACCTGCTCCAACAGTGGCATCACCAAGCTCTCGAGCATTGACACCGCTGATCTTTGATATTGGATAGTTAACGATTCAACAAAAATAAAAATAAAAATAAAAAGGAACAACGTTGAATCTGAACCTCGACGTTTCCCGGTATTTCACCGTATTACCGAATGTGCAGTGTCATGATACATTGCCGTGACGTTACAGCAAACTTCGACCCTAGCCCATTATGGACTAGCGGCGCGTATGGAGCTAAGCAAGGACGGAATTACGTCATCTGCGACCTCGGCCAAAGCGTCTTCGACAGTCGAACTTTTTGTTTCTCTCTTCCTGCCGAGTATCACTCTTGCTTTCTTTTTCGATATTCTTCAGAACTGTCCTCTTTCTATTCGATACAAGTCAGCGCATGCAGTCCTCTCATACAGGAGGCGTCCAAACGGAGATCATCAGGGACAGCCCGCGGTTCGCCATTGTAAACCAGGCAGACTTTATAGTTCACGCAGGAAGCATGGTCCTGCCTATCAAGATGCAGGGAAAATCGTCTCCCCAGGCCAGCAGGGTTAGGAAGGTTCATGGTAAGCCGTTTGAACCCAGCTTCTCGATAACTCTCTGCCAACAAGAAGGGCCTATCTTGGGTGGTTGTTGTCCCTGGTCATCCAGACGCATAATTGAGGCCTTAATATTACTACGGAAGAAGCAGCCCAGCTTGTTGGGATAACTAGTTAGATATGCAGCCAGAGAGGCCACCAATACGAGAGGCCGGCGCCACCTCATCATCTCAGTGGCTCGTTGAGCGTACAGACGAAAGACAAAATATATGGAATGCATGTCAGAAACTCGGCCGTCAGGGAAAAGTAACATGAAAATACGTGTGAATATCACCCGCATTGGATCCCGTTCTATTTCCAGTCCTCTGGATTACAGGCTTATCTTTTGGCATCGTGTCACCTTGAGGCCTTCAGATAAATGTACAGAGCACTCAAGGTCCTCGTATCAGCACGCGGTGACCATGTACTCCGTAGAACAGCAAGTAATGTTCGACCCTGGAGAGTACCATGAAGTCTGAATCGGTCGTCCTCCGCAACGAACCCCCAACTTTCAATCCTTGAGCAAACCAAAACTCATCTTCCCAAATTTCATCAACGAATTGGAATTGATTGTCGATGTCCTCCCGCATGTCGTGCATGACAGCTGGACAGGGATAGGCAGAGACTGACATTTTTGATGCATATGTTCTGCCAATCATGCACAGAGTGTCTTTCCACCCTTCAAAAGTTTACCCAACCGAAGCTGCGCACATGATGTGGTGATATGACTGATATCACCAATATCGTTAGGCCTGGGGAAGATTGTCAGCCCTATATAGCCAAATTTACGTAGAAGATAGAAAAAGTACAGGCTTCGCGAAGTATTGAATCAAGAATTTTAGGCCTTTGCTAGCAGGCTTCGTGCATGTGGCCTAAACATCAGACTCCGCTCTCAAGGCCAAATGTTATTAGCTATATTACGCTAGTTAAGGGGCCTGGGTACAATAACCCTCGCATTTGAATACGTTGTTCTACAACCTTAGTCTTGATTTTGTGCATAAATAAAATGCTACACAGACTTGAAGGCTACACGTCTATTTTTTGGGGGGCGTAGACAAAAAGAGGCCCCAAAGATACTTACAAAACTCTTATGGAAAACTGTAGCTTCCGCTTTACCCTTGGTACTCTACGTTGGTCGAAACTAGCATCCTGATGATCAGATCCACCCCTGCTTAATATCTCTTGACTTTTATACTTACGCCCTTCTAGCTTTCTCCGCCTAGGTTGGAGATATGGAGCAACCCCAGAAGCCGATAATGCCTTAATACTAAGACTATTGGTCTAGAGGAAATTATAAGCTGATTAGCCAGAACGGAGGTTTTACAAACGCCTCTGTAGGCCCCGTCATGTAATAGACCTTTGGATTCTCGCCAGCGTATTTTACGGAGACTTAGAACAGAGACCAGAAATCGGAATAGCGTTATTAATCTAATTACTGGGGTTTACAAATAGAAATGAACTAGCTATTAGGCCCGTCAAGATAGTCAGCTAGCCCATCTAGCATGGCGACCCTTTGATTCAGCAGGTAACTAAACGCCCTCAGTTGAGTAATAAATTAAACATGGTAATTACATTCTTCTCGAGGTCCAAATACTGTAGAGGTATCTTGCACTCCAAAAGCTAAGTCATTCTTCCGCTGGTGCTATTGTCTCCTTCACAGCTACATTGTCGGTTGGCTCCAGTTCGCTACTTCTTTCCCTGCTCCATACGCTTTTCGCTCTCCCTTTGCCCAGGCTCATTTCTGCAGAGTCTGCCATCTGACAGTACAAAAGCGAGTTCTTGAAGGTATCCCCTACTTTGTCCTGTCCGCCATTGTCCTTTGCTCTTTGCTTTCCACCATCTAAGTTTAGAGCCTGTAGGAAGGGAATGGCCAGGTTTACCTCCGGATAACCACCATATCATTGGCGGGAGCTCTTCATCATCCTCCAATCGACGCATATTGCCCTTCTTTCCCATCCAGCTACCGCATCCTCCTCGAAGGTGCAGCATCTCCTCCACCCCTTCGGTCTTGTCCTGGGCGAGTATCTCAGGAATCTCGGCTAAACTGACGCTTTTATCAACCGTCTCCCACCCGGTACGAACAACAGGAGGAATTGGCCTCGTAGACAGTGCTGCCCGAGCCCGTACTTTTCTCACCAGAAACGGTTTTTGTGCTCGACAGTTTACCTTCGAGAGAATATCCGCAAGTGTGAACGACGACCTCGACACCTCCACTTGATGCTGCGTCACCTGTATTCTATTCCGAAGAACTGCAGGCGCTGAAACATATCGACGAAATGCCAGTCGAACTTGACATTGCGGGTGGCTTGGTAGCTCTTCTGATAGGATATTGGTGATACCATGATTTTGAGTAGAAGCTGTGTCTGAGGTTTGATGCGAAGTCGGCGGTGTTTCCATGCTGATTCTCCCCATTGCCTCAACACATATATCAACTGATAGATTTGATGATGGGATTTCATTGTTCGTTTGGATAGCATTTTCGGAGAGGACGCCGTTCTTTTGATCTTTGGCGCCTAGCTCCTTGACTTGCTCGTTTGAAGCAATCTGGTTTGGATCACGCATGGTTTGAGGGATTCAGTGATAAATTAGTAGGACGCTGTTTAGTGGTTATGATATCCCCGAGCAACTTATTTTTGTTTTCCTCAAGGGCTTCCGGAAGGGGTCGAATAGCCAGTACCTGAAGGATTAGAGAGTCCTGCCCGTTTATCGCTGATGAAGAACGTAAGTAGAGGGCAGAGGCGTAAGGCGAGTTGATCTTGACAAACATAGTTCATAGTGGCCTCAAGTGACAATATATAACAAGGAATTAACAGCTATGTGTGATAGCCTCTCGGTATAACGTCACTGCATCCCATCTAGTTATGTTTTAATTGTTTGGCTGTCACTGCCATTTGCTAGAAGTTTATTGTGCATAGATCCATGGTAGCGACTCAAACAGTAAGGGCTCACTCACCATCAACCTTATTTTGAATTTATATGGAAGGAACTCGGTCTTTTTATCAGTATGATTCTCAAATAATGTTCTTCGGTCAAAAAGTAGATAGACAGCGAAATATTATTGCTGGAAAAGATTTCGAGGGTATCAACTATAAAGACCGTAAGTAAATCCTCTAGGTGGAAGAAATAACTTTTGGGCATATAATCATATTAGACCTGCCCTTTTATTTAATATAGTTCTAATTTTTTTTATTCTCCTTCATGAATCATTAGCCTGGACTAGTTAATACAAAGACTAGAACAGTACTCTCTTTTTTGCTCGCTATGGATAGTACACCATGGATCTTAAACGCTGATAGTTTTAAAGACACTGTATAGAAAGTTAGTTGATTAGTGCAAACAAGGCTATGGAAGGAGATAAACAACTTACCCAAAACCATTACCTCCAGTAGCCATAATTGTACCCGGCATCTGCTCCTGCCAATGCAACTCCTTCACCATCTCCATATAATGTACGAACAGTAGTTGAGATGGAACATCAGCTAAACCTGCTTCCTCTCGAGACTCCTCATCGTCCAGCTCAACCGCAAGATCCCAGAGTGTAAGGGTGTTGTCCGCGGAGCTCACAGCAACAACGCTGTCGTCCGTTGGATGCCATTCAATACTGGTAATTGGCTCTGTATGGAAATCGAATGAAGCAACCGCCTCTGCCTTAATCTGAGAAGAACCGGTATTCGAAGGTTCAGGTTTCCACTGCCTCAAATCCCAAACACCCCACTGGCCATCATCGGCACCCGTAGCGAGGAGGTGGAAAGTCTGCTTAGACCAACTCATCACATTAATGTCTGTATTTGAGATCTTGACGTCAACTGCTGGCTTTCGAGATTTCGACCGGACATCCCACACTTTCACCGTTCCATCGCTGCTAGCAGATGCAAACACATTCTTCTCGTTGGGTGACCATTGAATTTCTTCGACGGATGACGAATGTCCGACAAATGGCCGGGAATCGGTAACCCACCCACCACCCTCAGACCGAGTCGTGACGTATATCAGGCCATCATTGTCACCTGTAAGAAGCTTCCCTAGTGGGTAAAGAGGAGACCAGTCGAGTGCATATCCTTCTGATTTATGCATTCGTAGCGTGGACAGTGGTTTGGCCGCCGATGGAGGAATTATCAAGCCTGGATTGTCAAAGCTGGCTAGATGCTGCGACACATCATGGATAACAATCTGTGTATTCTCTAACATGCATGCTGCAAGGGTCTGAGGAGGCTTTGTGGGGTCTCCGGAGGCATGTGGTGTCTGATGTGACCGAATCCGGTTGGTTGTGGAATTGAGAGGGATCGACTTTGACTCGAGTATAGGATCTGAAGAGGAATCATCGTCCGAGTCTGATTCGTCGTCCGAATCCTCGTTACGTTCGCGTTCCATTCTACTTAGTCCGCTTAATTTAAGTACCATAAGCTCGTTTTCCTTTGCCCTTCTCGAGTCTGCTTGTGTACCAGCAACTGCATACACGGTTGCAGGGTATAGTTTCCGATTATCACCCAAGCTATCTCTAACAATGTCGAATGATAGACACGGCCAGGGTGTGCTGAGAGTATGAAGCATATCGTAAGTTGAGGGGTCGGGTGATAGAGTCTCCCCAGGAGCCAGCTTCGTTCTGCCTGGGATGAATGTCTGTTTGTCCACTTCCATTGCATCTATAGATGAAGAAACGATCCGTTAGTCATTACACCATTCTAGCCGCAACAGAGAAGAGACAGAAGCCCGAGAAGGGGGAAGGGGAATCAAAGAAACAGATTGGTATGCACACCGCAGAACCCAGGCTTCTAGGGCAACCACATACCCCTTTGCTCTTCAGCTTCACGCTCTGCATCTGGCCGGCCATCAACTCCAGCTTCTAGAACCTCATCTTCGCTCTCGAACTCGTCTTCAAATTCATCTTCAAACTCTCCCATCTCGTCCGGCGGGGCGTCTTCCATCGGCCGGTCGCCAGCTTTCAGGGCCCCTTGAGGCTCATCCGCCTCTACTGAACGCTTCGGCATGATGGATTGTGTCTATCGTTTGCTCAATTCAAGGGAGGCAACACGATTCAAGAGTACAACGCTGCAGTCGAGGGGATGCAAGAAAATCACTGCTTCGTTTGTGTTATCGATAAAAAAAAAAATCTTTATTTTAATTTTTTTTTTTCTCGAATTCCCACATGTTTGGGTGTAAATGCGGGCCCGCGCTAGTCTTCTTTTGGGCCAATCCCAGCTTGCGTTTGTTGGTTCTCGCTTTTGGATGAACTTCGCCTTTTTGATAGACGGGAAACGTTCACGAAGAACCGCAGTTAGACAGCTAAACGGCGAGTTGCAGCAGTATTTCTCTTTTTTCTTTATTCGGGAGCCAGGTTACCTCGTTTCGACCTGAGACCCGGCCTTCAGTCGCTTGATAGCCCTTGACCGACACTACCGCGGCTGCCTCGAGTCTACGCGCCTAAACCTTGAGCTCTCCCTTAAGCTCCCCTGGCTAAGGAGAACGAAAAAGAAGACGCCTGGTAGGCTTTCTATACGCCGGAGTGGCATTCCTTTCGCGCCCAGGGGCTTCCCCTCGTACTTCCTGCATGCGCAGTCCTTTCATTCAACGCCGAAACCAAGCAGAAACGGACGTACTTGTCGAGAACGGACGAGCCTTTCATCACGCGAGAGACCTTGGGTCTATTTATGCCCGTCCTCCCAGCCTGACAATTCTTGTGATACCATCTCTTGATACACTGTGAGGGCTGCTTTTAAGCCCAGGCGTGGAGATGGATACGTTGACGAAAGAGGTTGACAAGCTCCAGGTGGAAGACGATCCGACTGTGACACAACCCACGGAGACAACAACAACATCAACAACAGCAGCAGCAGCAACAGATGCTGACCAACCGCCTCCCCCGACTGAATCTGAACCTGTAGCAGCGCCAACCCCTATATCTGCACAGGATCCTGCGTCTACTGTAGAACACGCTCCAGAGTCTGAGCCCGCACCAGTCCCTGATAACTTGGTTCCACAAACACCGGAGCAAGAAATTCCCGCCCGTATTGATGAGACGCCCTCGAATTATTCACAGACGTACAATAACGGCTATAGCAACGGACAGCAAAGTCACCACTCGTCGTTCTCCCCTGAATACATTCAGTCAACTGCACCAGCGCTACATACACATGAGAGTGATCTCTCACCTGCGTCAAGGCATAACTCCCCCACCATGTCTTATCAACAATACCAACTTCCCTCACAACCTGCCTCTCGTCCAGGATCGGGAGTGTCGAACTCTGGAGATAGATATGGATACTCTCAGCAATACCACGACCAAAACCCAAGGCAGCAGCAGCAGCAGCAGCAGCAGCATCAACAGCAAACACAACAACAGCAGCAACCATCGGCAGCACCAAGCAAGAATAGTGTTGTGATTAAAGTTGGAATGGTTGGTGACGCTCAGATTGGCAAGACAAGTTTGATGGTCAAGTATGTCGAGGGTAGTTGGGACGAGGACTATATCCAGACTTTAGGTTGGCATCCCCGCAGGAGACAAATCTCGTGAAGCACTGATCACTAACACTACGGAACCAGGGGTCAATTTTATGGAAAAGACTATTTCAATCCGGAACACAGAAATCACCTTTTCAATCTGGGATCTAGGTGGGCAGCGAGAATTTGTCAACATGTTACCCCTTGTTTGCAATGACGCAGTGGCCATCTTGTTCATGTTCGACCTCACCCGGAAAAGTACACTTAATTCTATCAAAGAGTGGTATCGACAAGGGAGAGGATTCAACAAGACTGCCATACCTTTCCTCGTTGGAACTAAATATGATCATTTTGTCAATTTCCCCCGCGAAGACCAGGAGGAAATATCAATACAAGTAAGACCCTTTAACCTTTTTGAAATTTTTGGTTACAAAATGTAGAATGAAGGCTGATTAGTCCTGACAGGCCAAACGGTTTGCCAAGGCGATGAGGGCGAGTTTAATATTTAGTAGCACCAGCCACAGTATCAACGTACAAAAGGTGGGCTGTTGCGCCATTCAATTTATTACAAGGTCCTCTGCTAACTGTACTCTGTAAGATATTTAAAATCGTCCTCAGCAAGGCATTTGACCTTAAATGCACAATCCCTGAGATTGAGAATATTGGTGAACCCTTGTTGCTGTACCAATCTGTCTAAGTCGAGGATAAGGTGTTGATGAAAGTGATGACTATATATGTCTCCATGATGTAACGGACTAGCAACTACGATCGACGAAACGAGTCTTGCTATCAATGGTCCCACGCTGAAGAGAAGATGGCAGTTTCGAATAGTCTCTGAGAGAGAGGGAGCGGGAGTTGGCGGAGCTGGTGGTTTCTCCGTCGTGTGTTGGGGGCGTCTGAACAGTTTTAATATCCAAGACCGCTGTCTGTTGACGTCGTTCTTTTCTTGATGGTGTATTATCTCTTGGGCTATTAACTACTCCGGCCGTCAATCCCGGTTAGCTATAGCTGTTTTAGCTAGTCTTTTAACTGATATATCCATATATCTCTCTTTCTTCGCCCTCCCTTTCTCTGCTTCGCACATCGTCAAGGCCTTCCGTTTTGGGGAAGCAGAGCCGCGCCAGTAAATTGACCAATAGGCAGAAGCCTTCCCGCGTCCATATAAGCTTATTAAGACTTTTATCACTTCTTATTGGCCAATCACAAAACCGACATTCTATCTGGCCAATAGAAACTTCCAGTTCCAATAACAGCCCCTGTTGCTTACTTAACTTAAGGTTAATTAATTTTTTTTTTTTTAGTCAAGAGCATGGAGCCTAAAAGTAACATAACATGTGAAACAAACCAGCCCGACTCCAGTGCGCAATCAGCTAATAAAAGCAAAGACAGGACGAGGACGGATCTCAGGGTAGCGAGATGCACGAAGCCGTCCAACACGAACAGCCAGAGGCAGAGTATCTGGGGCTGGGCGCAGCAAGTGGGCTTTACTACATGACGTGGGGCTAAGCAACTTATTATTACTTGACGCTGGCATCTTGTAATATACCCCCAAAACTGGTCCCGTCCAACTCGAACAGGGGATAACTCCGTCCACTCCATATATATATAACGACCTTGCGATGACTCGTTCGACTCTGGCCTCACATTACCCGCTGTTCGCACAACGAAAACCAGTAACTCCTCACCGTCGAGGAGGGGTTTCAGGCAAATGATTCGAGGCAAGGAGGTTCTCCCTCCTCCCGTCGTCACCAGAACTGGGCAGAGAAAGCCTCCTCCACCTCCTCCTCCGTCCAAGGGAAGCAGGGCAGTCGCAGCAGGCCCTCCCTTGCCACCAAGGAACAAGAGCCAAGCAGCGTCGTCTCCAGTTCCACCCGCGCTTCCTCCTAGAACACCATCAGACTACAGTCGGTCGTCCAGTGAATATACACCCTCGAGCGCATCCGTATCTTCGAACTCGTCCAGCGCAGAAGCCAAACCTAATGTCTTACGTGTTCGAGCCCCGGCGTGGGATCAAACCGAGCTGCCCTGTGTCACACCGTGGAAAGGGAAAACCAAAGACACCAAGGATGCTGGTACCGAAAGGAAAGCAGAAGAGATCAGTCATCAGCCTGCTTCCGGCGCCCAAGGGATGAAAGGAAATGTAGCAGCGTTACGGAATCAATTGGCTGGCCATAAGATCATTGCTCCAGCTACGCCTCCTCCACCAAAAGCTGCGAAACCGAAACTTCCTCCTCGTATGAACTCGACACCCCTCCCACAGGTGCATGAATCGCAACATTCCCAAGACCGGCCGCTGCTGGAGAGAGTCGAGTCGGCATCCACTTCACAGAGAAAGCTACCTCCACCACCACCGCGGGGAGCTGACCTCCAAAAGATCAAGCAGTTTTCATTCTCAAGCCTGAACAAAACTGCCAATGAAGCCGTCAAGGATAATACAGGTTGTTTTGATAACGTCAACAGGATTTCGCGTGCCCCTCCTCCAGTACCTCTTGCATCGCGGCCAAAGCTGCCTCCAGTACCTACAAGCTCAAAACCCCAAATTGGTTCTACAGCTCGTAGCAGTACAACTAACTCTACTAACGCATCAACTATATGCTTTAAATGCCGTGACTTTTCTACTGCCGATGCACACGCCGCTAGATTCCCTCGCCAATCTCTTCCATCGCACGATTTGGCCTGGCTATCATCCCAACTCACATCTCCATTCCCATCACCGACGGATAAAGCACGTGTGATCTTTACATGGCTACATCACAACGTACGGTATGATGTAGAAAGCTTCTTCCAAGGAAAAAGAACGCCACAGTCACCGGACCATGTGTTCACCCACGGGCTCGCCGTTTGCGCTGGATTTGCATCCTTATTCGAAATGCTGGCAAAATATGCTGGTCTAGAAGCTAAGGTGATCAGCGGCCATGGGACGGGCTATGGCTTTAAACCGCTTGCCCCTGGAGCACCAATACCCCCATACGAAGGCAACCATGCATGGAATGTAGTGCGCATTGACAATGGACAGTGGAAACTAATTGATTGCTGCTGGGGAGCCGGACATGTTGAGGGTGCGAATATGCCTTATGTTCAAAAGTTCTCACCTAAACACTTTATCATGTCTAATGACGAGTTTGGACTCGACCATTACCCAGAGAATGGGTCTGACTTTTACCGTGAAGATGGTCGTACAAATATCACTTGGGAGGAATATATAGGGGGTGGCCTGAGGGCTCAGATGCACATACCTACTGACCCTCCTACCCTGTTCGATAATGCCGTTGAAGACCACGGCATCGGAAAATATACCCTTCAGCCTGGAATGAAGTCCATCTCCATCAGAGAAGTGTCCGGACGCTCTATACATTTCCAGTTTGCCCTCATCTGCGAGCACTGGTCTATTGTCAAGCACGGTGGTAAGACAGCCGCATCCTTCTTCGTCCTAGCTCCGCATGGACTCGACGGTAGAGAAGACAAGTTCGTCCCATTCAACCATGTCCGCGGTACTAATGCCGGGGGAGGTGGCGACTACTGGTATCTGGACATTCCCGACGGCAGGACGTTGGGTTGTGCGGGCCAGAAGTTGATGATATTCGAGTTGACGAGCTTTGGGACCCGGACCGACCTGCGTGGATTGACGATGGCAGAGTATGAACAGGGAGTCGGTAGAGTTGGGATGGGCTTCAAAGCGCTTGCTGAATGGACTCTTGTCGAGTAGCTGTTGTCTTTCCCTCCGTTTACCTTTTCTTTAAGTGTTTTATTTTTATACGTGATTCTACAAAGGGCATGCGTTTGATGGTTCTCAATGATATTACTAGGGCAGATATAGAAGGATAAACAGCATTAATGATAATCTTTGGCTTCAAGGCGGTTTATTAGAACGATTCAACCCAGCATCCAAAATTTTTTACCGGTGTACTTCGTACGGAGCGCCCACTCCTTCTCGGCATGAATGAAGTCCTTTGGTGGAGACATCCCTTTCCTTGTCTGCTTTCTAGCAATTCCTTCACTCCAGCGGCCAGCGGGGGATCCAGAATAATAAGAGGCTGTCACTGTCACCTGTATAGTATAACAGGGGCTGGTAGTTTTGGCAGCTTCTCACTGTGACATCAACCCACCATCATTTCATCCTTCGGCACTCTCTACATCTCTCCATCTACATTGAACTGCACATCCTTTCTATATGCGTACTAGACACGCCGACAACCCCGGCCTATACTTAGGTTAGGAGCCCAAATTGTTTAGTTATTTTATTTCAAGCGGTTGAGTATCCATACCTCTATACCTCTTGCCCATGCATTCGGGTTTTTCCGACCCTCCTGGACTGCCACTTGGAACCAAACGTCCAGCCGGTGACACTCCCCCAAGCGGCAAAAGAAAGAATCGAGAAAGTCAAGAAGCTAAATGGGCCAGGAAGAACGAAAGGCCTTAAAAGATGGAGCTGTTACATCTCAGGGTTTCAGCGGCCATGACGGCAGAGGGCAGCAGAAGCTTTGCCACCGTGCAGGCGACTCTGCGGCTCCCACGAATGGGAGCATTTCTCTCGTCTCTAGTTTTCCGGGGATAAGGACAAGGGTGCGGCTGGCCGCAAGAGGCATGAGAGGGTTGCTGGTACTCTGCCAGTCGTAGGGGGCCTCCGTTGCAGCAGAGGTACAGTCTACTTCTGCAGTACATACAGGCAAGCATTGACTAACTAACTAGTGGAGGGTTACAAGAGCTGCCGATCCTGCGGCATGGCCAATTTATTACTTTCTTTGCTTCTTCCTGCTGAGGCATGCAAGTTGAGGTACAACGGCCCAAAGGGAAGTAAGTACTCTCTTGAAATGAAATTGTGGTATGGTCAGTTGGGATGGAGCCGTGATGGCAGATAATTTGGGTAGCAGCGAGATTGGATCCGAAGCAGACACCATAACTATTCGCAGACGGCTCCTACCCACCCCCTTTTCGCATTTGCTGCAGTGATACATGAGCACGCGACACAGGCTGTCAGTTCCTCGTCCTACCATGGTACAAAAGCCTTGCCCTCAACGTGATCAGGAGAGCGTTTGCGGGGGAGGTCGCCGCCATCAGCCCATGCTGCTTGTGGGGAGGCCAGTGGTAGGCAGGCAGAAGAAACTCTGCCCGAGCCAGACTTGAGAGGCCTGCCAATCGTCATAGAACAAATAACTAGCTAGTTAGTTATGGAGATGTATTTGCGTCCATGCGGTTTAGCTGATGCCCGTTCCCATGGAAGCTTCTACTGTGCGCCCCCCCGCAGCTGTTTCTTGCATAAATAGTCCCCGGCCGTTCCTTTCGGTCTCTTCCTCCCTTTCTTTTCTTCTTTCCTCTCCTTTCTCTTCCTCTTCTTTGTTCCTGTGTAGAGTTGAGCGAGAGTCAACATACAATTAGCCTATGTTGCGTCACAAGGGGGTCTTTCCTTTTATCTTTCTATTAATAAAATCACCATTACTCG